AGCAGGAAGGGAAATCTATAGTGTGTGTGTGTGTGCACATCTGTGTGCACACAGTGGAGGGCCACCTGGGCATTTGTCTCCAGCTTGCAGAATACCCACCTGAGCTTTTAAAAGTATTTGCAGGTGAAGCAAGAAGTAGATAATTAGCAAGAATCACCCAAGTTCTTCTGATTACCCCTGAACATCTTATCCTGGATCAGTGCAAATTTTCCCTTAAAACAAACATTACACCCCCCCACACACCCCCCCCCACCCCCGGGGTGTGTGTGTGGGGGGGGCTGGGGTGGGGGTGTCATGTCCCCATGTCCCATTTTCCTTCTCACGCCACCTGTTACCTTGGCTAATGCAGCAAGCCCAGAGGCAGGCTCTGGATGACCCATGTTTGACTTGGTTGCTCCAATCAACAGTGGCGCTCTCTCACACTGACAGAAGACATTTACAATGCCTTTTACTTCCTGTGGATCTCCAGCCTAGTAGGAAGAGAATCAGAATGGCTGTTAGCTAGCATTTCCAAAACACACCACAGAAGAGAAATCTGAAAGATTAAGATGTTTGGGCAAAATCCAAAAGTGGTGAAGCAGTACATATTCTAGTAACTCATGGAAGGGCGAAATATAGTTCATTTTAGAAAAATAAAGAGTAATTCGATGGAAAATTGGGGCAAGTGATGCAAGGGAAGAAAGTAAGGGACAAGAAAAACACTCTAAACCCAGAGGGGGCCATGCTGACCTGGGTGCCTGTCCCATGAGCTTCAATATACTCCACTTCTTCAGGTTTGATACCGCTTTCTCTGTACAAAGAGCTGACCAACTGCTGCTGCATCTCTCCAGATGGGAATGTCACACCTAGGACCAAAATTGCCATCAATTCCTCTCTCCTATCAGATGCTTCCTGTTCTGATTTTAGCACCATTTCAACTGCTTGGGGCTACCAGGTCAAAAAAAACCCAGAGAGACTTTTTCAGGATATATACCAATGTTCTTGGCACCAAACACAGTAAGCCTCTCGGGCTCTTTGGAAGAAGAGAAGAACAACCAGAAACGGATCTAAAGCAATGAGTTAGACTACTGTGGGAAGATACTGGTTAACAGAATATTGGGAGATGTCTAGATCATGCAGAACATGCGAAACTTGGCGTCCCCATAACTGGAAAGGGTGAGAAATGGGACAGCAGTAGAGAAAGAGCCTTATAGTCATAACACCACCCACATTTCTACCATCAGTGCCAGAAGTTACTGCAGAGATGACCTGAGGAAGGCTAAACTAGCAACAGGACATTCCTGTTACTTTGTACAGTAGAAACCACCATTCATCTCCTTCAATTTCTTTACAAAATAGGGTCCTGAACTTTGCATTACCAAAGAAGAAAAAACCAAACAATAAACCTTCACACATGGAAAGAAGAACCCCACGAGAGCCTGTTTTTGATGACAAAGACTCCAGACTGAACAGTTCTGTAGCTATCTCACTTTTCAGAGGCTCAAGGCCTACCTTGCTCCTTGAAGCCATCAGCGTTAATTCCAGCATTGACTATTGTGGCATAGATCCGCTTAGCCATAGATCTCTTGGTCAAAAGAACGACAACAGCGGCTTCAGAGCGACAATATCCATCTCCTGAGAGCAGAGAGAGAAAACAAGTCACTAATTCTGCTCTGCTTTGAATAAAGTTGCAAAACACCATGCAATAAGGTCACCTCATTCCTGAGCTACCACTTACAACAGACCGCTTTAAGAGTATGACATATCCACTTCTCTAAAAAAAATTTCGTGTCCTAGAAAGGCTCATTGCTCGTCACAAATGATGATAGAAAGTTTCCATCAAGAGACAGCTAGTTCCTCTCCTCAGTGGCTGAGGAATGAACCACACAGTTTCTTCCCCACAGTTAGTTTTCCAGATTCCATGGAGCATGCAACTCAGATCAGGTCCAGGGTACATCTCAAACAGTGCACCTAGGAACAACTACGAGGCCAGCGCTTTGCTGTATTATAAGAGTATCTGGTCACAGACTCCACAATAAGTTCCTCTCATACAACATGACAACCTTTTGTACTAATGCCTTACCTGAAGCATCAAAAGTCTTGCAGGCACCATCAGAACTAAGCAAACCCAGTTTCAAGAACTGCAGAGAAGTGTTGGGCTTCAGCAAAATGCTAACCCCTCCTACTAGGGCTGCACTGCACTGCCCGTGACAAATTGCCTTATAAGCATTTTCCAGAGCGACAAGACTAGAGGAGCAGGCTGTGTCGACAGCAATGCTTGGTCCTTAGGGAACAGAAAGGGAAAACAAGAGAGCTGTTTTTTACTGTTTATTTCCTAGAGTTGCTCTGCAAAGACTACAGGATGGGATCACAGAAGAGAGATATTCAAAAAATGTTACATAAGAGTTGATTCAGAACATAACATGTAATCGGGATACAACGGGAGACAAGAATCACCAAATCTGCCTGCTTACCAGGTAACAAGGGATGAGAAATGTGGAAAAAGAATTGCAAACAGTTTGCCTTTAAGGGTATTTTTTAAAATTCCACCTCTGTCTCCATCAAAAAGAGATACTGTAGTTTCACAGGCACATCTCATCTATTTCCCCGTTCTCACCAATAAAAATCCCTCCCCCTTCCTGGTGCTACCCTTGCCATTATCTCTGTTCTCTGTTGCTCTTCAGAGCAATTCCTATTCCTTCACTCTTACCTTCAGTGCCACACACAATTCAAGTCATGTCTATGCCTTCAACTACATCATTGTGGTGGCTCTCCCACTTCTTCCACTTTATTCAAAAAGAGCCAACTGTTCCAGCCAGTTTGTCTCTGGGCTAGCCGACTTCTACATTGCTTGATAGGAAATAGCAGTCTAGAGGCAGGAAAGGGCCTAGCCCTTTTCATGAAGGCCTCCTGACATCATCATCTTTCAGATGAATGCCAGCTATGCCCAGCAGCAGCAACTGAGTTACAAAGCCTTACAATGAGTCTTATCACACAGTTACAACACATTTTCTGCTTCTCACGTGCCTCCTTATAATAGCTGCATGCTACTTTCCCATCCCAAAAGGGGCCTACACCGTCAACTCCATCCCACTCCTCTACAGAAACTGTGGTACAGTCGTGCTCAAATTGCAACTGCTGATCAGCATCGACAGGTTTGGGGGCACTTACCTTTTAAGTCATAGAAGAAGGAAAGCCTGTTGGCAAGCATACCACGCTGGCAGCCCACAATACTGTATCCCACAAGCTGTTCTGGATCTCGGCTAAGGGCTTCAGCAGCTTCCGACCCACTGGCACCAACCCATACACCTGTGTCTGTGCCACGGAGGGTGGCCGGATTAATACCTATGAGGATATTGGAAGGTAGGTTACAGCAGACAAACTCACGATGAGGGGGAAACTGGGGAGGTATCAGGTACGCTGGCACCAGTTCGTGAAATACTACTTACTGTCCCTTTCTGGCAGGCCTGCAGCATTGTTCCCTTACATATAGTTAGTTACCTTTTATCTGTTTCAGTTGCAGACCTTGCAAGTCTTACTGCAGAGTCCACCAGAACTTTGGTATTGGCTTTTGGCCAGAGCATACTGCGCCTGGAGACAGCTTTTCAGCTTGTGTAAAAAAGCTTAGGGACTACGAAAGACAGAAATGCTGATCACATAAGGTAACAGCTGACTTCCAGTGCAGAGAAAAGGAGAAGACCAAAGAGGAGAAAAATCACAGCACTCGGAATGTCATGTGAGCACATGAATATCTATCTCTAGCCATACACAAAGCCCAAATCTGGAGTACAAGACAGAAAGGAAAATTCTTAAGCACAAAAGCCAACAATCAGAACAAGAAACAACTCTGCTCTAAAAAAAACGCATAGCAAGCTCAACTTGCAGCAATCTCTGCTGTTTCTTCTCTGTGCTTCAAGAGTCCTGGAGACAAGCAGAATATTCAAGCCTTCAGACTGAGGCTCAGCAGCAGAGGAGCAAGGTTAGTAAGTCAGTACTAGTGAGGTGGTTACAACTTTTTCCCGTGTGCTTCTTGTGTTCAGACATGAAACTGATTAACATGAAGAATAAACTTTCTGGCTCTGTGGACAAGTAACTCAAAAGCTCAAGACACTGGCAGTGACGGAGGAAAGAGGCTCCTATTTCTGAAAGCGCACTTCCTGGGCAAACCTTCTACAGAAGCAGATCAAATGCCACAAGTTTTCCACGAAACTGGCCAACAGACAGGAATACATCACGTGATCTGCCATTCTTTTAGACCATGGATGAGAATTCTAATCAAGTCATCTTCCTTTTGCACTACAAATATGCCTTTAACAAACGATCTATTATGGAATACTAGCATAGAGCAGAACATACAAAAACTCTAGAACTGTTGACTGTTTAAGTGTTTCTGTCGTACTGGTTGTACCATATGAGGCAGGTAGAGTTTTGCTGGCAGTCAGCGTGGATTTCCAGAGAAAACAGCTTTGTTCTAACCCTTGTACCAGTCCTTTGGTCTCCTCTCTACTGTGATAGCTTTCTTTTGTTAGAGATCTCATCACACAGGTGCATGTCTGCACCTGCTGCACAGAGACAATACAGCACAATTCTCCCTCTTCAGTCATTCAGCTGCTTACCTCCATCCAAAATAGCTTCATAAGAAACTTCCATCAGCAAGCGAAGTTGAGGATCCATTGTATGAGCTTGTTTGGGGTGAACCCCAAAAAAGGATGCATCAAATTTGCTTATGTCCTTGAGCTTTCCATTTCTCTTGGGCAGTCCATACATTCCTGTGAAGAAAAACTCAACACTGAGTCACAGAATACATCAGTTTTAAAGCAGTTACCGGCTGAGACGCAGTACAGAATGACCACAGCCAATTCTTGAATACACATGAAACCTCACTTCCCTGTTGCAGTACTCGGAGTGCGGCATTAACATCTACCTACCCACCTCTCTGAATCTCCTTTGGAAACGAGAACGCTGCATTAACAAAAACAATTGTCATTTTTAAGATACGGCAGCAGAAGACATCTATCTAGTTTAAGCATTTTTGCTTTGTCAAGTTGCACCAAGCACATAAACTGAGTCCAAATCAGTGGTTCCAGTCAGTCACCAGGTAGAAGGAAAACAAAAGCTACTTTTCAATTCTGCAAATCACTAGCTTGAACTGGACAGACATGTACCAAACACTTCACAAAGACTATCAGGCAGAAAAGAACACTGTAAAAAGCCATAAATCACAGGACTGGGGTCCCTGTACTGCTTCTGAACCCAGAAAAATGACACGGCCAACTTACTGCCACAGCTATCGACAGCAGGTACAGGATTCACGTTGCCCAGCTGCTCTGTCAGAGTGTTCTTTTATTTGGAAGTACGCTACATATTTATAAGCTACTACTGCATGGGACATGACATTATAAAATGGATTGCATGAGACCTTCATGAAGGCGTTCTGTTCCTGAATTTCTTGATGATCTATCAGAAGCGAATTCAGAAGCTCTGGCAGGGTTTTGCATCTGATACATTCTTTCCTTCCATGGGACACTTCCTCTAGAACTCAGCGCTCTAAAAAGAGAGACAATAAGCACTCACCTGGTTTCCACCTCCTATCATCCTCCGTGACCATATCAACTCCATTAATCAGGTTCTCCCAAAACTCTTCCAAGTTGTCTGATTCTGGTAGCTTTCCTGCTATGCCTGCAATCACCACGTCCTCCATCTCTTAACTTCTCCCTGTTGCTGAGATCCAGAAAGCAGTAAGACTAGTAAGATTTCACACAGAGAAGGAGCGTATATGTGTCTCTTGTCTTCCTGACATGTTGTGACAAACAAGCATATTTGCAGGAGAAACACCCACACAGGAACAGCCCATGGAGTCTCTACTACAAAAAGACATCCCAACTAATCAAACGGACCGTAAGATCCATGAGGACGATGAGAATGAGAAAACTGATCCTGAAGGAGCGTCAGGCTCCAAGAACCACCAGTTTCTACATGACAACTAGAAAATGAACAGGTCTAGTAGCTCTACCAAATACAGAGCCTCTGTGAAGTCAGCAGAGAAGAAAGATTAACATGCCAGAGCAGAGGTGGGTGGAGAAATTATGAAATACATATAGTAAAATACATAATTACAAGGCAAACCTAGCAAGTAGCAAAACAAGTTCTACAATAATTACAAAGTTAAATGCTAACTTAAGAATCAATAATCAGAAAGTCTGTTGGGGGGTGCAGACACCAAAACCCCACAAACACAAAACCAAACAAATAAACACAGAGACACACGCACACAAAAAACAAACAAACAAAAAAAAAAATCCCCAACACACACACACACACAGAGGAGAAAGCCTACAAAAAAGCACAAAGATTCCAATACAACTTAGCATCATCCTAAATACCCAAAACAAGAAGTAAGTTTTACATATGAAGTGTTTCCCAGCTGGACCCTGCACTGCCACACATTTAGAGGACTAAGAATGGGGAACTAAGTACATGTGACAGAGAGTGGTGCTTTAACATAAGAGTTGGCAGAACAGATCTGCATTCCAGACGGGATGAAAAACCCTAGCTGTTGTCCCAAGAAATTTGCATTCTAAGACCCCAATCTCAAACAACACAAGAGAGCATCATGGTGCATAACGCAGCATGGCAGGCCATCTATACAGATCACAACGCCAAATGATAGCTCGTAGATTACAGTCAGCACACATTTTTTTTCTATTACACTAAAAATATATTTACAACTAAACAGAGAGAAGGCAAGTTACCCTGACGCTTAAGTTAAGTTCAAATTATAGTTTGTAGACCCTAAGTAGGCAAGTTACAGGAGGGAGAAAAACCCCTATATATAGAGAGAGGTTATTTTTATATACATAAAAAAATAAATAAAAGCGTGGTTGCATGAACAAGAGAGGTAGTAAGCATTCACAGTACTTCCTTAATCCTTCTGGTAAGCAGAGGCAAAATATTCTTTTGTGTGGGATTTTAACAAGTAAAAGCCACGAAGACAACTGGGTACTCAAATAGCTGAAAGTCTGCCTTAGTAACTTTGAAGGAAAGACTTTGCTATGGAAGACCTAAAGCTTGACTTCCATCACAGGTTATGCTCCACAGTGCCATGCAGGCACTTTGCTGAAGTGCTGCTGGTGCTTGGTCATCTTCTCCACAAAACAGCACTAACAGGTACTCTCAGATGAGCACCTCATAGCTGTTTTTCCAACCCAAGGCATTTAATTTAGGCACGGTTTTGCAGCCTCTTTCAGGAGCTCCTGATGCTTTTGAGCAAGAAATAGACCTCTCTTCCATCCACACACTGCTCAGGCGTAACACGTTCCTGTAGCTGAAAGAGGCCGGGGTGCACGGAGGGAAAGCAAAGCCCTCTGGTTAGCTGAGGTGTAGCCCAGCCAGCACACACCGCCACAGAGGTTGCCTGATTTCTTTTACCCTTCTTCTTTCCTTCAGCAGTTATCTTGATTAAGATCTGTGGAGTAACTGTGGAATTATGCAACACTGAAGTAAAAGAGATTATTACCTCATCCAGTCCATCCCTTCTGGGAGCAGAAACAGAAGTGTTCCCAAAGGGACATCTGGGATTTCTCAGTCTTATGCTAAACACCCAGACAACAGAAGTTCCATTCCACTCCAGTTGTTCATTTAAAAAGGGAAACACTAAGGGCCAAATGCGCAAGGCTCTTGTTGAGAAACTACTCCCCAAAACTGAAGTTGGTAGTAATAGGTCCAGTCCACGTTCCTCTGAAGAGGAGCCTCTCTGTTCTTCCACTCACATAAATCTAGCAAGTCCGTTTTATTACTGGCGTCACCACTGTACCTGCAGAACCCAATCAAGGGCCACAACTCTGCTGTACTTGCAGCAGTACTGTGGCTAGGGGTAGAGCCCGAACGGATCTCGGGCACGAAGCTTACAATCTAAGCACAAGACAAGAGATGCACAAGACGACAGTGTGATTAGGATTCAGTATTACGCCTCAGCTCTTTGGGTACTGATCTCTGGGGAGAGAAGTGTAATTTGTATTTCAGGGGACTGAAACGTCACTTCTGGGATTGTTCCTTCCCATCCCACATCTCTCCCTGGAGTACCAGAAAAACTCCATCCAGGTACAGCCAATCTTGACAAAATGTTATTCCAAGACAGTGAAGTAATGGGATTTATCAGCAGAGCAATATTTGCCAACATGTTATGAATGTAGTTGAGCAAGACTGTGTCAAAGGCAGAGAAAAAGATGCTGCAGTAATCAAAATGTAGAAGAACAAGAGCCAAAAAGTTAGTTTTAGCTGGGTGAATGGGCAAGAAGAGACATAACTTAGGGATTTTTATACACAAAGAACTAGAAAGATTTACACTTGACACAGAGAGCTCCAAATGCCTACATCTGAGATAACATACGAATTACGGATTTAGCAGCAGTAGAGATGACTTGCTGTGGAAAACAACAGTGGGAAGAGCAAAAATCATGAATATTAAGTCATCCCTGATTAAACAGTGATTAAAGTAGATGCTATGGCTACCAACAATGTCTTTGGTCTTCCCTGGCAGATAACGAGCAGGCAGACAATTCTGAAGTTTGACTTTACCCCTAAATGGCGTGTTATATTATTTTTACTATATTAGAAACTTTTTTTTTTTTTTGGTAGCGTACTTTTAGGCTATACACAGTACGCTGACAATTCTTGAAGTACAAGACGTAGCACAGATCAGGAAAGAAAATTATTTCTGCAGCTGTTTTAGATGAGACTGGACTACAGCAGATATACAGAAGAGATTGTTCCTACCACATTTGATGAGCAAGGTGAACAAAAGCAACAGGTCAAAAAAGGAAACAAGATAAAGAAGGACAAACAGGATTCTCCGATTTCTTCAGGCTGTATTTTGTTGGATCCAACCAGACATTTAACATCCTTTTTCCTCTGTTTACCCCATGGTTTTACTTGAATTGAATTCTGTGAATTCTTCCTAGACAGCTTACATTTTTAACTGAGGGGAGGGGGGGGGAAGAGGCAAACAACCCCAACCCCCAACATATCAGTCTGACAGACACCTCAGTTAAGCATAAACTACCACCTCACTGGTTTTACACAATGTTTTTTGGCAATGATATTGCATTGTTGACTCATTCAGTTTGTGATTGGTAATAACTAACAATCCCTTCTGGTATTATTGACTAGTAACAACTTTCGTCACTTTATACCTGTGCTCTGGTTATCCACCTCCCACATTAGCTACTTGACAAGGTTGGTTTGTTTATTGGTGTCAGTTCCTTTCTCCAATCATGTTATACCTTCTTAACCGTGTTCTCTATGTACTGGATACCTATTGCTATTATGTTAGCTTAACGCTATTATCAAACTTACTCTTAAGTTGAAATACTGCTCTCCATTGCATTTCAGAGAGTAGTTTTTCAGTACCTCACTAATCCATTACCAGTAACGAATCAATAAGAAAAGTATTAATCATCATTTCCAACATCGCTGGCAGCTGTACAACTTTTTTTAAAAATAATTTTTATCTACTGTTTACCTACAAAAATATCTCTGTGCCCATTAAGCTTGTAAGTTTTTAGAGGGGGAAAGACAAAGAAAGACAAGAAAAAAGAAAAATTAATAAAAAGCGAAGGTAAAATTTTATTTCTTCTCCCACTATCTGACTTGCCAACTGCCGAAGAGAATACTTTTCTTATTCTGTTGTACCTATGTCCACCCAAGGTTCAGTGAGGAAAGGAGGGGGAAGGAAGAAGAAACTGTTTGCAAAGAAGCAACAAATAAAACCCAAATCTTGTTTTGCCTGATGCACAATTCTCTTTCCTAGACAGGAGCACATCGCTTACGTTTATTTCACTATTATTTTGATAGCTGTCATCATGGTCAGACAGAATCCTCAAAGCCAACTCTGCTACTGCTTCTAGGCAGTCCAAATCCTGATCTTTTTCAGAGCTCCCATTATTGCAAAATGAAACATCCATGACTCCTCCATAGCTTCCTTCAGCACAGGTACTGACAAAAGGACTGCTTTTCTTAGTTTTTCAGTATGACTACATCATAAGCCACCTTTCCTAGTCTCCGATTATAATTTATAAAATTCATAATTAAAATTGTCATTACATAGGAACTTCACTTGTGAGGAGTCATAATGCTTGCCTCCAAAAAAACACCTTTACAAAACCAGAGGCAAACACAGGCTGCTTTTCATTTTTTGAAAGCACTTAGCTACCATCAATCTGTGTGCTATAGCTTCGATTTAACAAAGACCTTTTAACTGTCTCTTTCTGTTTCAAAGCCGCATTTGTCCCATTGACGACAATACAAATGAAAAATGGTGGTGCGTTTTCATATTTAAAATGCACTACTTAGCAGAAAACACAATCTGGTTCAGAGCTGTTATTTGAGAAAAGTAGGTTAGATTTTGCTCATGGAATCAGCACAGCTCTGTTGACTCCCAAATGGTCAGAATTTATCTGTACAAAAATTTAAGTCCCCAATATCACTACATCATGTTTGTAAAACATCTGTTCATAACGGCCCTCTACGTAGGGACCTCATTCTCTGAATTCATCCGCTAAATGCAGGCTAAATGCAGCCTTTCACAAACTACTGTTATTCTCAGTTTGTTTCAAGAAGCACAGAGGCTGCTGGAAAAGGTGAGCCCTTTGCTCCTGTGGCTCGAGCCTTGTCCTCCCTTTTGTTTTTTTAAGGCAAGACACACTCCAAAATCCCCGACGCTGCTCTCTGAAGGACTA